GAGGAGAATTGTGAAAAGTAACGACATCGATAGGATTTGAGAAAAATTCTTTTATAAATAGGAAGGTTTTTTAAATTCTTCTACTGAATTTATATATTTATATATGTAATGAATAGAAGGATCAATCTGTCGCGTTGAAATTAAAACGAGCATAAAATGCGCGCGTATTATTCTGCACATATTTGAAACGCACGTAATAGTGCTTAATAATCGATTATATCAGTCCGACCGCTCTGCGAGATACGTTTAATGCGGAGTTTAGTTACAGCAAACTACTGTCATCCCACGTTCGTGTCGTTCCAATATTGGTGTGGAACAAAATCGGATTATCCAGCATTATGACAATTTCCTCGAGAATAGTCTGATATCGCAACGTGTTCGTATTTGTCTCGCAGCAAGAATTGAAATCGAAATGTCTCTGATACATTTATATACGGATCGATTATGCGATTATATTAATTCGATGTTTTAAAGGAGAAATTTATTAAAACAGGAGAAAAATAGAAAGAATCGAAAAGGAAGCAATTGTTTTTAACAAGGAAGAAGAAATAAAAGAAGAAACAAATCCGATAAAAATATCTCGTCGTTAAATGGAAAACAAAAGATTGCACATACAAAAGAAAAGGATTAATTAACGAATCCGTTATTGTCAGTTATTGAAAAATTGAAATTAATCATCGCAAGACTTTGTTTTCTTTAAAAAAAAAAAAAAGAAACACGAAGAGAAGTCTCTATTTCTCGACTGTTCATCATCATCGATGCACAAAGAATCGCGATATCGTATCGATATCTTCAGATAAAACGCGCAGTCTTACTCGATCTATCGAGAAAAGAAAAGAAGCGAGGGGGGAGGAAAAAAAAAATGTAATAAAACGGATTCTTTGGAAAGTTTACATACCGCTTTGACTGAAAACACTTGCTCTGAAACCAATATACCGAGGGATTACAAAGTTTCCGCCTCGAAGTTACGTCGCATCGCCATTAAAGTTCGCTAGTTACCATCGGAAAATAATCCGCGTACCATGAGCCCGACGTCGTGTATTTAATTGCTTGTTCTTTCTCAGCCGTTCTAATTTCTCAACTGGACGGAAAAATTATTCACGGATTGCTGAACTCGAATTAAATTTTACGAGTATTAGCGATGAAATTAACTTGCAACTTGTTTCTTCTCTCTCTCTCTCTCTCTCTCTCTAGTAGTTTCAATTTTTGTTCGTTCGAGAATAAAAAAGAAAAAATTCTTACGTTACGATTCGTTCATGAAACGTATTATAAAAAAAGGAAAAAAAATTTTTCACGAGAGAAACCAGCTTTTTATTTTCTCGATGGTTATAAATTTGTTGAACATTCAGACAATACTCTCACTTATACAGTCACGGGTGTACTTTGAAATTGTGATAAACGCGAATATATAATTCATATCCTTGACTTGCTAAAATACATAAAAGGGGGTTATGATTATTAATGGCTCGTTTCTTGGTTCCGCAATTTTATTGTATTATGCGCTGTTTACACGTGTACACAAGCGACCTGAAAAAATGTAGATTCACTACGAATAAACGTTACGAGTAGACGAAAAAAAGAAAAAAAAGAATGTTATATGATTTATATATCGTGAATACTATTTCAAAATCTTTAAACAAGAAGTTTAACAATTATAATATTTATAAATTGCTTAAAATTATTGAATCTTTTTTTATTCAAATAATGGATTGAGAAAAAAATATTTCGTTCATACTTGGTACTGATTTATTGTGTAATAAACCGTTTAACACTAATCTTCTCGTGTTACAATCTCTTTGGCGATTTACACATATCCGTAAAAATATTATAATCTACAATAAAGATCGCCGCCATTTGACAGCGCTGCAATCGACAAGTAATCGTATACTCGTATTAATCACGTGTATTTCAATAGAAATAACATCTAACAATTTGAATCAATTACAATCACGAATGTTTATTCATATTATTTTTTAATTAAATAAACAATAGATACGAATATACCGATTTAATTGTCGATCAAGTGGTGTCAAATGGACGATAATCTTAACTCTGTGCCATAAAATGTTTCATAGATTATATAGAACGATTACCAGTGACGAATAGTTGAGCAATCCGTTATTACCATTGGAATTAACTAGAGTGGAGAAGATGCGAATCGAAAAGTTGTGTAGAGACGCTTCTTTCTTTTTCTCTTTTTCCTTCTTCGAATAAACGATAATAATATCGATGATGAAAGTGATAAATAATGTAGTATCATTGAAAACGGGTAAAAAAGATTTTCCATCCAGTGTTTTCTCGTTCATCATGTTATCGAATAGGGGAGGGAACCTCGTTCGTCAATTTCAGTTTAAATTTATTCTTTTTGATCAGGGATGTACATCCGACGATACTCGAACCTGTGCAAATAATTAAAGAATAAGATCGATGCCTGTGACTTCTATTAACTCACAGCTTATTATAACAAAGCAGATTTAATTTTTAATCGTATAAGGATCAATGATAGAAAAAACGAGTGATTGTATCGACACACAAGTGAAGTGAAACAATGATAAATCACTTTTTACCAATGAAATGATAAAAACACAAAGGATTTTACAAAAATAACGAAGAACGTATCGGAATTTTTATATGACGACGTGTCGAATTTTTATCGAGAAATTTTTTTTTTTAAAATCGATCAATGTAAAATTTATGTTCAATATATCATGTGATCGAAATATGTAAAAGCTACGTTCTACGAATCATCGTCAATTCAAATATTTGCACGAAGCACAATTTCCCTTAGATAAATATAAAATATTCGCATATTCCAAAAAAAAAAATAAATAAATTAAATCGAAATCTGATAAAATTTGCATAAAAAAAAACGAAGTAATATAAAAAACATGCAAGTACTTTTCAACCGATCCATCTTACCGATTCTATCAAAACGCTCTAAACTTCGCACGTCACTGGCTACGTTCTAAGAATCCAACAATACAAAATATCGATTCTCGTCGGTTTAATTGCACTCGACACAAGCCAATTCCTCTTTTTTCCCCATTATTCCATGAATACAACGAGAGAGACGTTCTCCATATTCTTTCTTCTTGTACAATCTTCAATCTAAATCTTCGAAAGGAAAGAAAACGGGAAACATCGTGGTTTCCAGAG